GCTCTTACAATGAAAAATAGAAACGAATTCACTGTTTCGGAAAAAAGTTAAAGTTTTTGTTGGGTTATCAAGATTTCACTGTTTTTAGTTACCAGAACAGTGAATGACAATACAACGGTGACGTGGGTATCGGGTAGTGGCGCATCAGTACACACAACAATAATAAAAAAAAACGTATCTCGACTATTTTGTGTTAGACAATATGACACAACGGACGAAGAATTTTGACAACCCTACCAAGACAACAGGAGTCGTAGTGTTCATTTTGAAATTCATCGATCCCAACAGTAAATATTTTGACTAGTGGAAGTGGCACTGTTCACTGTAGCCTTCACTAAGAGGACTGTGAATCGAGTAATGGCACTAAAATTCTGGGTCCCTGGAGCCGTGGGGACAGCCAGAGAATATGGACACACCTTCAATATTTTCCCGTGTAAACAAAACAACAAAGAAACAAACCCTTGATCTAATTTCGTGTTCGTCTCAAGTGCCACGAGGGGAGGTGGGGGGGGGGGCACTGTATATACGGATTCTTAAACAAATTCATCAAAAAGACAGTCATTGGGTAGTGCCTCTGTTATCTCAGTCAATGGGTCAGTCAGCGGGTACTGGCACTGTTTTCTCTTAATTATAAGGTCTGTCTGAGGGCCGTGCCACTGTACCCTATAAGACACTGGGTCAGTGAATGGGTAGTGGCAATGAACTGAGAAACTAGGTCAGTTCGAGAGCAGTGGTACAGTTTCCTCCTAAGCCAGTTGGTCAGTTGGTTGACAGTGGCACTGTGTTACATCACAAAGTTACAAAAGTTAAAGGATAATGACACTGAATTAAAGTTTCTTCACACACTCATACGGAAGTTATTTTAGAATGAACGTCTGAGTAAAGTCGTACACTTGAAGTTTTCACGTCACAAAATTTCCTCTATTCTTAACCGCACCAGGTCATGGCACTGACCCTGTGGTGGCACTGGCAAAGTGTGTTATACTTCGCCTGAGTTAACACGAGTGTAATCTAGATGCTTGCTCGGGGGATCTGATTTCACGTTACGCCACTCACAACCAATCTGGCACCAGGAACTAATACTTATAGCTCTGTGAGACACTCGGTTGTGGTACTCTTGAGTGACAACCGTCCTCTGGTGTGGGCGGTGGCACCTGTGATGACCCACTCACTCTGTAAACAAAGTGTCCCTATGTCATCTTAATGGTGTGCCAAGACACTTCCCTTTGTCTCTCAGAACCACCTCAGTCTCATATACAACTTCTTTTATCTGTCTTTAATTTTAACTAATTTATTTTGGGAGGAAAGGATAAAAAACTATCCCTTAATGGATCCTTCTTATTATGTGCAGCACGATCAACAAACACCCGAGACAGTAAGCTTATTAAACAGACTAATGAAGACGATAGTTTTGCCAAGCTATCGTCATCATCGTGTTAGTATTGTTCCAGAATCAGGTGGGATAATTTTTTTTGGGGGGGCCTCAGCGTAGCTCACTCAAGACGTCAGTTCCAGACACTTCCGAATCTCTCTGTTCCTCTTATCTTTCCCAGCCTTAATAATCAAGTATAAAATATATTCATTCCACAGTTTCCACACACGTAATGAATTAATATCTGAGGCCAGTTATAGTGACACACTATCAACACTCATCAACGCATTTCATTTTTCTCGTTTCTCTCACATCATAAAAGCTCGAGTGCATAATTTAGTCCTCGAGGCGTCAACGTCCTGCCACACTTTTATTATATTTTCTGAAACGTAGATGCACTTTTTTTTCCTCTCCTCGGCGAGTCCAAAATTTTTTCCTTAATGGCGAGAGAGATAAGGCGTCGTCCTCTCAACTATTTTTTAATCACTAACAACTTTCTTACATGATGCTGGCGATAGACGGACCAACTTGATCAATTTCATCAATCAGGTAGAATAATCAACAGGTCAGGTGAGATGAATCAGAGATATACAGTATACTCTCATGACACATTTACCTCGCAACATTTTCCTGGACACTGTCAGAAGGCAACACACTCTACGTATTCACTCCTGACGCTTTCACGACACTCTCTCAAGCAGCTGTAATGTGACAACCGCAGCATGACACTACAGCAACTTACAATCACCAGCAGCTGCAACTTGCACTATACAGCCACGATTGACAGTAAATAGCAGCGAGTTGCAGATGCCACAATTTTCAACACGGCGGCATTTTTACTGACTACACAACACCAGCCAATATTTACACTTAGTTTCTGTTACATACAGTTCACAACACACTTTTAACGCACACGACGCGCGCACACCACACCACAACCCGCAACTTACTCCACGGCGTCGACCTGTGCTGGCGAGTGTTAGGTCGAGCGAACGAGCGAACGAACGAACGAACGAACGCACGAGTTAAAAGGTGCGAGAGAGAGAGAGACACAGTGTGGGGTTGGAGGCTGCGGCATGGAGGACCGTGCACGCCACCACCACCGCCGGCACCTGGCTGCCACCCGGCCCGCACGCTGACTGCCTCTCTCGCCCTTGCCTCACCCGGGCGGCGGGCAGTGGCGGTGGAGGCGGCGACACACACAGGGAGGGCGGAGGCTTAGATGCAGCAGGGGGAGGCTAACTGATAGGGGGCGTAGTAGCCGTGGGTGGAAGTAGTAACAGGAGTATTGTGGGCAGGTAAGACAGGTGATTAAGAGTCGTATGGGTACATGACAGAGAAGGCAGGGGGCGTGGTGATAACAGGCAGGGGGCGTGGTGATAACAGGCAGGGGGCGTGGTGATAACAGGCAGGGGGCGTGGTATAACAGGCAGAGGTGGCAGGGGGCATGGTGATAACAAGCAGAAGTGGCAAATGTTATTTCAGCGGCAGTAGGCAGAATGGGGGACAACAGCAGACAGGTAGAACAGGGGGAAGCAACAGACAGAACAGGAAGACGGGAAGAAGAGAAGCGGTTAAAAGAGACAGGTGGAAATAAATGGGAGCAAGAAATGGGTGAATGGGAGGGGTGGGAAAAAATGGCTAGATGGAAGGTGTGAAGAAAATGCATGGAAGATAGAAGAAAAGAATTGCGAAAGGGAAAAGGAAGGCGAATGGGACAGAGGCAGCAAAGATAAACAGGAGATGGAAAGGACTCAATGGTTACTAGAGGGAGTGAAAGAAGTGGAAGGGGTAGAGAAGAGGAGAACAAGTTGCTGGTGGAGGACGATGATGCAATTAACTGTGAGAAGATGAAGTGGAGGAGGAGGAGGAGATGATGATGATGATGATGATGATGATGATGATGATGATGATGATGATGATGATAGTGAGAGGGGATAAAAAGAGAGAGAGGAGAGAGAGAGAGAGAGAGAGAGAGAGAGAGAGAGAGCTGGAGAGAGAGAGGCAACACTGGTAACGTCTTCCTCTCACTGTTATTATGTCCATTAAGCTCAACACTCCATGAATTATATCGAAGCGCGGAGCATAAGTCCTTACTAACACTGGAGGAAGAGAAGAAGGAGGTAGGAGAAGAGAAGGAGTTAGGAGGAGGAGGTGGAAGGGAGGAAGCAGCAGGTAGTGGAGGAGTAGTCAACAGGTGGTGGAGGAGGAGGAGTGGCAACAGGTGGTGGAGGAGGAGAACAAGGCAACAGAGTGGTGGAGGAGGGTGGCAACAGGTGGTGGAGGAGGGAGAACGAGGCAACAGGTGGTGGGAGGGGGAGTGGCAACAGGTGGTGGAGGAGGAAGGAGGGAGCAGAGGCAGGTGGTGGAGGGAGGTGGCAACAGGTGGTGGAGGAGGTGGCAACAGGTGGTGGAGGGAGGAGGCAACAGGTGGTGGAGGGAGGAGGCAGCAGGTGGTGGAGGAGGAGCAGCAGGTGGTGGAGGAGGAGACAACAGGTGGTGGAGGAGGAAGCAACAGGTGGTGGAGGGGAGGAGGCAGCAGGCTGGTGGAGGGAGAAGGCAACAGGTGGTGGAGGAGGAGGAGAAGGAGGAAACAGGCGGTGGAGGAGGTGGCAAAAGGTAGTGGAAGAGGAGAAAAAGGCAACAGGTGGTGGAGGGGAGGAGAAGGAGGCAACAGATGGTGGAGGGGAGGAGTCGACAGGTGGTAATTGGGGAAGAGACAACAGCTGGTGGAGGAGGTGAGGACAACAGGTGGTGGAGGTGGTAGAGGCAAGAGGTGGTGGAGGCAACAGGTGGTGGAGGTAGTGGAGGCAACAGGTGGTGGATCATTAAGCAGAAACAACGGGTATAAGAGCATTAGATTTAGTGTTCAGCAAATGGAGGTTTTGAGCGATGGCACTAGTGAATATTAGATGCTGGACGATGCTAGTGTGGTAGTGTGGTGTAGTGGTGTGGTAGTGTGGTGTAGTGTAGTGTGTGCTAGTGTGGTGTGGTAGTGTGGTAGTGTGGTGTAGTGTGGCGGTGTAGTGTGATAGTGTGGTGAAGTAGTGGAGTGGTGGTGGTTGTTGACGTGGGGCTCCTTTGATGATTCACCTGCTGGTCTCTCTCTCTCTCTCTCTCTCTCTCTCTCTCTCTTTCTCTCTCTCTCTCTCCACCTTTACATCTCTCTGTGCGTGCTCAGGGGCTCACACAACCCCCCCTCTACATGGCTTCAAGTTACGGCCCCCAAGGGCTTAAACACTTTCCATCTTTCCCTGTATCATAGTTAAAGGCCACGAGGTCGAAGTCCCCGAAGTCAGGGGGTCCACGAGGTCAGGGGAGATCCTGAGGTCAGGGGTGAGGTCAGGGGTCCCCGAAGTCAGAGAATCCCTGAGGGTGGGAGTCCACGAGGTCTGAGGTGGGGAGTCTGAGGAGGAGAATCATACTGTTTCATAATCATTCGTATCTAAGTTATTCTGGCTAATTTAAAAGGTCACAATAAATAAATAAATAAATAACGAAAAAAATAACGAACTAAATAACAAACTAATTACCTTTCCTCAACAAAGCGAATTTCAGCTGAACGAAAGAAAAATTACGAGAAATAAATGAGAGTAATCTGATTCGTTCGTTACCAGAGCTGCTATCTATTCACACACACACACACACACACACACACACACACACACACGGCACAATCCTCTTATGTGCTAAAAGCCGACGCCAAATTAATCCATACTGTCCCTATTGCTTATTAATTTATGGGTTATACACAACTGACGAAATATTTACGACAAAAGGACCAATCATCATTAAGCATGCGGAGTACTGACCAATCACCAGTCAAACATGTGAAATACTGACCAATCACAGAGAAACAGTGAAGTACTGACCAATCACAGTGAAATATGTAAAGTACTGACCAATCACCAGTCAAACATGCGGAGTACTAACCAATCACCAGTAAAACATGCTTAGTACTAGCCAATCAACAAACCCGTGAAATACTGACCAATCACCATTCAAAAACACACGACACACTGACCAATCACCAGTCGTACATTACAACGAGCTAACCAATCACAGACCATCGATCGGGTGAGGAGGGGGAGGGTCGCACGCAATAATACTACCACCACCACCACCACTACTACCACCACCACCACCACCACTACCACCACCATCAGTCGTAAACCCAGAGGAACAATTAAGTTAGGTCAGGTGAGAGAAGAAGATCCCAGGTGAGGTGAGAAGTCAATACTGAGGAGTGAGGAAGAAAGTGTAGGGAGGAGAGAAATGGCTGATAGAAGAAAGAAAGAAAGAGTAATTGAGCTTAACTAACTGTTCTTAAATAACACTTAGATAAATACACTATACACATGAACGGAACACACACGGTGGCTGGTTAGGTTAGATTAGGTTTGGGTAGGTTAGGTTAGGTTAAGGTACGGATTCTCAAGCAAATTTGTATACGTCAATTCTTGGAACACCCACCGTGGCAGCTTGTTTCACCTGCTAATTATACTATACACCTTAATGCTACCAAAAAGGGTTAGGTTAGGTTAATCCAGAGGTTCCTATGGTGAACATTCCTCGTAACTGATGATTTAACCCTCTGACGACGATGATTTAACCCTTTGACGACGATGATTTAACCCTTTGACGACGATGATTTAACCCTTTGACGAAGATGATTTAACCCTTTGACGACGATGATTTAACCCTTTGACGAAGATGATTTAACCCTTTGACGACGATGATTTAACCCTTTGACGACGATGATTTAACCCTTTGACGACGATGATTTAACCCTTTGACGACGATGATTTAACCCTTTGACGACGATGATTTAACCCTTTGACGAAATGATTTAACCTTTTGACGATGATTTACGACGATGATTTAACCCTGGAAGATGTTAACTACGACGATGATTTAACTGACGACGATGTTTAACCTGGACGATGATTTAACCCTGGACGACGATGATTTAACCCTTTGACGAGATGTTAACCCTTTGACGACGATGATTTAACCCTGACGACGTGATTTAACTGACGAATGTTAATAATGCGACGTTTCTGCGAGATTTACTGGACGATATTTAACCGTGACGAGATGATTTACTTGACGATGTTAACCCTTTGACGACGATGATTTAACCCTTTAAGACTCAATGGGTTAAGAAAACACCAAACTACTAAAACACACAAAAAAAAATCATTAAAAAATGTATATATCATGTTACGAACTTTTTAGAATCTGTACCTAATTCATATATTTTTTGTTTCGCGTGGTGACGTCAAGGGACCGGGTTGTTCCGAGAAATAATTAATCACCAGGAAAGACTCAACAAGCTATGATCGTTTACTATGGAGGTCACGTCAGGGGTCCAGAGAACTGTGTCAAACTTTACATTAATATAACTACCCATAAATTTTCAGCCTATTAGTATTCGACACTAATAATAATATAGTCATAACCCAACTGACTAATGGCATGAATTAACGTAGTTAGAAGCAAGTTGAACGCTAACCTAACCAAACCAAACCAAACCTAACCTAACCTAACCTAACCTAACCAATCCCCATTCTAGATTTTCTGCCAATGTTGAATGGATAAATATTTAGTCTGTAGCGGTTAATGGGTTTCATTTCTAATTAGGTTACATAATGGCGTCGTTTGGGGGTAGTCAAGGCGCACGTTTATTAGATCTTAATCACGTTCTATTGGTGTGTGTGACTGGCTCATCGGCACACCTGTATACCAAGAAGGACAGATGTTTGTGACTCATTAACACACCTGTACACCAAAGAAGGACAGGTGTTTGGTGATTGGCTCAACAGCACCACACCTGTACACTATAAGACAGTGTTGTAACCGGGAACAGCGAGGTAGTGGGGTGACTCACAAGCTTCACCCCACATCATCATATGCTCCGCCATGCTCCGCCACCTGGCTTACGCGGTGGTCGTCTTCATTGTTGTCGTTGTCATTGTCGTCGCCTGAACAAGTTGATCTCATAAAGTGGTGTGATTCTCTCCCCTTTAAAGTGGTAACTGAGTCAGGTAGTCACGAGGGGTCAGGTAGTCACGAGGGGTCAGGTAGTCACGAGGGGTCAGGTAGTCACGAGGGGTCAGGTAGTCACG